CAAGATTTCATGCTGAACACTGACAGTAAGCAAGTCAGTAAACTATCTGGACTGGAGGTATATTGACTTTCAAATTAAGAATAACCATTTGTTTTAATTTTCTCCAGCTGCTGCAGTTACTGGGTGGGAGCACTCAGGCATGTGAGCGGCTCTGTCTTAGTCATTTAGGGGAAAAAAAACCTTGTGCTTGTTGTTATCACTTTGAGTACTTTAATATTTAATAAAAAATACTTGCTTTGCAAACCTGCTTTTCTAAGAGATTATTGAAAAAATCAATTCAATACCTAGAAGCTAAAAAACAAAGTTATTTGCCTCAGATCCTACAGATCTCAAAATGACGGGAAATAAAAACATCCTGACAAAAGCTCATTTTCTATTTCATAGAACAACTTAACACACTACCCACAGTCTTTCTGTGAACAGAAGAAAAAGTTAACACTTTTAAAAGTTAATCACAAAGTTAAAAATTAACGACAAGGACAAGAACAAATTCCAAACCACATTTTTAAGACTTTAAAATTTGCTTTGCTTTTAAACATTGCATTTTGTTTCTTGTTTTACACTTTTCTGTTACAAAAATTATAAAAAAAAAAACAGGATTTTGCACAAAGCAACAAACACAGGTGTCACCCAGGCACAATCTGCTGTTCTATGAGATATTACCAATCTTGTTCCTTCTATATACACTGGTAAAAATAAACTTAGTACCATGTGAAATAATAACATGAAACATGAATGCAAGCACACATGGTCCCACAGACTTTGTTTACATAGCAAGTAGTGAGGTGAATTAGAGTAGATCAATAGATCAAACCATTTAATGCCAATGCTCTTTACATCTTCTATTAGATGTTATTTGTGGTTTACTTTAGACTAGACTTAGCCTTGTTCACTGGACCAAAAACGTAGCTCAAAGTTTTCCAATGGAAAGCTATCCTACGGATCTTTGCTCCCTTGATAGAAGAGACTTCTCTTATAGGAAGTGTCATGCTGTCCCTTTCATTTTTCTTATGCAGATGACAGTAGCATGTCAGTTCACACATCACCAGTAGGCTCCATCATAAAGTTTCTATATCCTCTATCTTCCATATCTCTGGTCACAGAACCAAAACATATGTCAGTACCTTCTTCCCAAGAAGGGACAGGATCATTCATGATGTCCTCAATGCCAATGAGCACCATGAGGAATGCTGCATACCCTTGTGCCCCACACCATAAGGTACACTCTGACAATGGTGCAGCACAGGCCTAATTTCATTGCACTTTTACCAAATGCATAATGGAACCACAATCTACATTTGGTCATCTGAAAGACACTGGGCTATGTGGGACAGACACTGTGCAAATGTTTCCAATACCTTCCAAATTCAAGGTATCGCTTCTAGTATGAACCACCTAGGACATCTTCGAGACCTTCCTTCAGACTGAAATACTGTGTACAACTTCCACAGTGCCTGTATGCACAGTTCTCTGCTGTCTGTCATAGCTGGTGCATCCTGCAATGCACTTGTGTCAGGACTTTGTCTACTCCTTCACTGAAGACAGTCACCAAACCACTGAGCATTCACAAGTGAATGGAGTGGGACAGAAGGAATACCATACCACTGGACATCAATGTCTTTCAATCTGGCAGATGTTATGCAATGATTAAAAAGGAACTGATTGCCAATACTTTTCTCTGTCCTCAGCTTTTCCCATCTCCACACCTGTGTGCTGCACACACTCACTTGCTGCATTCAGTACACTTGTTGTGGGTAAACCCAGCTAATCCAGCTATGCCTTACCCCATCTCGCAGTGCCCTTGCCTTTACGACCTTTCCTGAACGTGACTGGGGGCAGAGGACGAGATCATATATCGCCAACAACCACTACCTTAGCCACCACATTTCAAAGAAATTGAATCATCCTGAATAGTATTTGTTGTACAAGCAACTGATTGCAGGGCAGGGACAGGATCTGACATGTGGTCAGAATTACCAGCACCACAAGGCAGGTCCTTTATACACTGCATTTGAGGAGAGGAAGAGAGAATGTGGCTGGGGTTTTGTGCAGAAGCCTAGGAGGGCTGTGTTATCAGGGCATGCCCTGTCCACAGCTTAAGCAATTACCAGGACTATGCCTGGCAGGCAGGCAGTGCTGGGATAGGGCAGGTGGTCTCTGATGGAGCTTGTTGCTCCACAGAACTTCCCTCACAGCTCACAGCCCCTGGGGAACCACCTCTCAAGGCACAGCAGCTGTCACAGTCAATCCAGAGACCTACACCACCTTTGCACATCTCTGCAACCAGTGACCTAATTCTACCAGAAACCTCCTAAACAGAGTCCCATGCTCAATACATGTAGAGGAGAGGAGTGCACACACTTACTCAGGCAGCCACCCAGACAGCCAGTTACAGTTCCCATTACCTGCCATGGCAGAGTAGACCAAGGGGGTGTTCCTGCATGTTGTTTCATGGGAGTCCTCTGGGGGTTGCAGGCATGTAGATGCATGCAGGACTGTAGGCATGCTTTTCCCTGGACTTTTCTCCTGGACTGTTGGTCCTGAGACTAAGGGCATGAATGTCCTTACCAGCAGTGGGCTTGGCAGAGTGCTCTTCCCTCCCCTGACAATCCGTTCAAGATCTCTGTAGTAGTGGCATATACACTGTGCCATCTCTGAAGCATGGTTTTGCCACTCCATCAAGAACATGGTCCTCATGTACTTGAATGAATGCAGTGCTGCTCATCAGTCCTCTCTCACCTGGCAGCAGGCTTGACATTAGCAACAGGGTGGTGCATGTGCTGCAGAAACTTTTGGGCCTTTCAAGTACATGCTGTCAAGCTCCAGGTTGCCCCCTGCTCAATATTCTGAAAGGCCAATGCAACGGCTGTCACTATTGCAAAAAGCAGCAGTAGGAAAGGAGGAATCATTTTAATAATGTTATAAGAAAGATGTTGTTCATAAAGGAGGAACAGCAAAAGAAATAGGGCTGGTGGAGTGGATAGAAGCCAAAGTCTGGAAGAAATAAAGGAGCAGATGAAAGTCAGAACAAGCAGACATTTGGCAATCATTAGCAAATACGAAGTCGTAGCATTTGGCCCTTCTGCGTAGCATGAGAAGTATTCAGAATAACATGGAAGCTCTTGACAGTTTTAAAGCTTTCTGTTGGCACGCATACTTTTCATTTGCTCTGGAGAACTTCACGGCAGTGCAGTCCCAATCATTGGATCCTGCCCTTTTATCTCAAGGGGCAAAGCTTCTGTCTTAGCTTTCTCTGTAAACATGTCCTTCATATGTCTAAAACCACACTGTGAACCAAGTCAATAAGCAAGGACAATTTGAGAACTTCTTTCAGAACTGCACTACTGCTGTGACTTGAAATATCATGTAGACACACCCCTAATGACCATTGCTTTTCTGGACTTGAGGATACTTGATCTGCTTCAAGATGCATCTTCTGCTTGTAGGAATCTTGCTTATAAGTTTATAGTATGAACTTAAAGTAGTAAAGTATACTCTTAATTTCCAAAACAGGATGCAGGAAGGCATAATCAGTTCTGTACTATTTGATGCAGTGGCACCAAAACAATTTTGGAGGCAACTTCACCTGACTACAACTGTCCATGCTTCCTCAGTATCCCTAGGACTCAGAAACATATTTACTCAAAATTCAAGCACAAACTCAGAACCAAAGGATTGTTCTGATAAAGCTTGTTCCTGAAAACAGTAACAATCCATTTCTGTTCTAGTATGGTCATTTTCACTTGCACGGTGTATTAGCAGGAAGATGGAGAAAGTTCAATCATAACATACATATGCTTATGCAGAATTTCCACACTTACAATGGTCTGTAAGCCAGTACGTTTCCACCATGTCATGCTGACTCCTCTGCTCCACAACCACGGAATACAATGGTGCTCTAACAACTGCTATATTCACAATGTCGTCAAAGCTTGTTTCATATGCTCTTTCCTGCCCTCAGCATCCAGTACATTCACTATACTTTTGTAGTTCCCGTATCCTCTGCCATGAGTTACCATTAGATTTCCTTCAATGGTTCACAAGTTTCGAATTACCACTACAAATCAACAGAGGTAATAAGCATGCCATGATGGCAGAACTAAAACAACTTCTGCCTCTAGGACTGTTGAAAAAGACAAAACAATCACTAGGCAAGTTTCACTCTGCACAGTGTTGGAGAAGCTGGGATATATCCCGAATTCCTAATGTCAAGTGAATGCAGACAATCAAGTCTCACCACGCTTAAAAGCTAACAATGTTGGTGCTTTTACATAAAATGCCTTTCATTATCGCTGGTGGATACTGGATTCACTCCCTGAAGAAAAAAAAGATGGTTCAAGCAACACTGTATATTCTTGTCTGGCAGTTGGAGAATCAACAATAGCTTCTGAAAAAATAATAGTGTAAGGCAGTATGATTGCTTTTTTGAGCATTAAAGTTAGGATGCAGCAGGCCACTCTAATTGGACTAGTCTCCTCCCCACACCACTGAGTTTCATCACCAAGGAGAAGATGCAAGCCCTGAATGTCATCTGAGTCTTGGCCCCAGTTGCCTTGAGTGGTAGGGCGAGGAAAGAAGAGACAAGTCTCCTTAAGAGTTCTGGCTCCAACTATAGAGCTCTCAATTGCCTCCAACTCTGATCCAGTAAGAATTCGCCATCTCCAGACATGCAAAACACAACATTCCCTCCTGGATCTTCTAAACGGCCTGTGGCTGAAAACTCAGCAACACAGGTACACTCCACCATGTGACATTTTGAAGTCGGTTGTTTCGAAGTTCCTTGCCCTGCTGACCATCACCAGTGATACAGACAAAGTAGACAAGTTTGAAGGACAGGGAAGTAAGTTTTCCTTAAGAATTACTGTAACAGACAGGAGAGTACAAACACAGAAGACATACACACAATTTAAATATATATGGCATGAAGAACACACAAGCATAAACAGGATCATCAATATCATCAACTGGAGGAGATGCTGCCTTTTCAGAATGGATCATACCTCATATAAAACTGTAGTATTCCCATGAAGGAGAGGCCCATAGCAAATGTAGGAATGACCAACAACCCAGCCTAAATCAGAAGCTGCCCACCACACCTAAAATGAAATAAAAACATAAATACAGTGGAGAGTTTTTAAGAGGAGTTCAAAAAAATTCACATGACATTTAAACAGAATTACCTCACCAGGTTTGAGTCCATATACAGCCGACATCGTCCAGTTCAGCATAACTGCATAGCCACCTGTTGGTCTGACAACACCCTAAATGAGAAAATTTGAATATTTAAGATCATTTGAAGGATGCAATCATATTCCTATCTTCAGTGAAATTTTGGTTTTCTAGCAACAATAGACTTAAACGTTGTCTACTTTCAATACTTCTCACTTCAGAAAAGGATCCATCCTGACTAGTACATGCTTGTGCTAGCATTCCCACTGAAGAAGTAATTTTGAAAAACAAACAAATAAACAAACATACAAGAAAACAAACAAACACTGAAACCTCAAGCCCTAGATGACAATAGTTATCAGAAGATGACTAATAAAGACTGAAGTTCTCTCACTAAAATCAGAAATACAAATATTTAGTCAACATATGAGAATAAAAAGATAAGAGATTGAGTATTTACCTCACTTAAACTGTGGCCATCTAAATGCTAGGAATGTTTTAAATTCATTGTCTAGTCTCTGTATCATCACTGGAAAAGAGGAGCACTTGTGGAGTAGTCAATCTCTAAAATAACCGGGGTGAATTACTCCCTGAAATGTACCCCTCTTTCTGCACTGACTCTTTTTAAAGATATCAGAGTATTGACTTAAACCAGATGTCTATTTCTGAAAGGTTTAATATCTAGCCTGAAGTACACATACAAATACAAAATGAAGAACATCCCAACCTTAGTCTAAAAAAGGGATTGAAAGTTAGAACGAGAGAGTATCAATAGCATCGTGCACCTTGGTAAGCCAAAAACTGTCTCCGGAACACCATTAATAGGAAAAATTTTGAAATATTTTAGGAAAAATTTTGAAATATTTTATAATATTTGTATGTTTAGTAGACATTTCATCATCTTCTAGTACACTATTTCTGGAAGAAAAAATTCAGTAAAATATGTCCTGAACAAAAATTCAGGTGAGATTCATCTGACCAAACAGACGTTTACAGTGCAGACACTACAACACAGCTATCGGTCTGTGCTAGGTACGATACAGTCTCTTTATGCAGTCAGTGAAATGAAACGGGCACTTTCAGGCCTCATCCAAGAAATGAGGGGCTGTAGAGACATACTAACTCACTAAAATGGAGATTGCCACAGCAGAGAATGGTTAACTAACACTTCAAGAATTCCAAAAAGCAGATTGCCTTTGAGAGTCTCTGCTTCTTAGTCCCTGCTCTGAGATTAACAAAAGTTATGTTACGAAGGTCAAAACCGAATAATTTCACTTGCATGATCACTTACAAGTAAATTCCTTAAATGAACAAAAAAGTTGTTCTATAGCTTAGTGCTAGCTGGCAATTTTCCTCTTATAAGGGTGATTCATTTATCTAACTGTCTGTATTTTCTCTGGAGAGCCAACACAGTGAAGTAAACTTCTGAGAACTTTTATCTCTGAGATACTATACAGTCAAGGAAAACACCTGTTGTAACAAAGGATTTTATCTTGGACCTTTTAACAATATAATTAAATAATTCGAGATATGCATGTTGCTTTAAAGAGCCCACATTCAAGGCAAAAGGAGAAGATATCTTTCTTAGCAAAACTCATGTTAGTTTTCCCTTACTTCTCCACTGATTCTGGACTTTATAGGCCACATTATCAAATAATTTTCTAGTAGCAGTCTAAGCACTGCCATATTCTGGGATGTGTGACAGTGTCTCTGAATTTGTGGTGGTAAGACCACCAACAGATAATAATATTCAGCTTGTCTTCTAAACTTTAAAAGAGAATTGTAAGTAACAAACAAATACTCAAGTGTTTGCTTTTAAAATAAGATCTTTTAAAAAAACTAATCGACATTTGAAAGCAAACATTTTCAAAGAATGTCCTATGTTAGTTTTGACTTACTTAGTCTAAACTTTCATTTTCATGGAAATTATGTGCTCAGAACTGTTCAGTAACACAAGGCTTCAGAACATGTTTAATTCCATTTAATCTATGATGTCATTTGCTACATTTTATCTACAGGAAGATTAGCTAATATGTAAATAATGAATAAGCAAAGACTATTCAGCAGTAAATGCTATTACACAATTGATACATTAACTAATCTTGCCATTAAGTGACTATACTACGCTTATCTCAGTGAAAATACAGAAGATATTGATGGATAAAAGACATTCTGCTGTCCTCAAAAGTTTATACTGTACAAACATTTTGAAGTAAACATAGTTTATCTTTATATTACTAATATTCAAATTTAAAAAACATGATTTATTCCAAGACACTGATTTTAAAATAGTGAAATGTGAATAAAAGAGATTAAACCATATCTAGCAATGTTTATAATTTATAGCACTGAGCTTTGGCAAACATTTTCAACCTTTTTAATTAAATATTTTCTCAAGTGGACCTGCAAATAGGTTGGTCACAGACACTTAGACTACAGATAGTCCTTTACCTTGGGCAAGCCTGTTGTTCCAGATGTATATAGAATATAAAGTGGATGATCTGAGGGAACAGAGACACATTTATAACACTGTGCTTTTGCAAGCTCTTCTTCCCAATCAAGATCCCGACCTGAGGCAAGAGGAACATGGCCCTGTCCATTGAAAAACAGAAAAGCATTGAAAGAAAAACAGATGGAATAAATGGAAGTGGGTAAAAAAAAAAATGTACCGTTCAATTTTCTGTACAGTAATCTCTCTGCTGCATTAGTTCTATTTACTATTTAAATATCAATAATATAATGTTACCCCATAAAATTAAAAAAAAAAAAAATACAACAGATAGACCAAAAATTTTACTTGTAAAAGAAGAAAGGCACGTGCACTACATACACATCTAACAGTTCACATAAAGGCACAACAACTGTACACCCACCAAATTAGGTCGCATGTAAATGAGAACTTTATCAGGTTTGCTCTGTACCCTTGCCAGTGCTCCTTCTAGGAGGGATATGTATTCCACTTTCCTTTTCGGTTCTACTCCAAAACTTGCTGTTACAATAAGTTTGGGCTAAAATAAAGAAGTCAGATTGTTAATACGTATATTTGCAAGATATTTTATACATGTAACCTAATAGCATGCTTCCCATGAAATTCTTTGATTAATGACACTCGATATATAAAATCTATCTTCACATAATTAGAAACAGGGGTTTAGATCAGTTTTAGAAGAAAATTAAGTTTGTGTGATCTTGTTGTCCAGACATCTGTTTTTTGTTCAGGAGCACACTAATTACACTGACACTCTTACCCATTGTCAACCAAATTTGTGTAAGAAATCAACAGCATTAAGTTCTTGTAAGTAGCACAAAAATTAATGAAGAGGCACAAAAATTAATGAAGGGAGAGAAAAACCCATCTCCATCTTACTCTCCATTACAGAAAAGTGGTAAAGTGATGTCAACAATTATCTGTACTGTTTAGCCTGCTTTCTAATTATCTGCCTGCACCCAATAGCATATTTCAAAAGTAGCTATAGCACTTTGCTGGCTCTTTTCCAGCCTGCAATTACATGGCACAGGAATAAAAAGAGGGGAAAGGGGAAAAAGAAGGCAAACGAGATGACAGGAAACTAGAAATGCAGGAAGAGAAAAAGCTAAACTCATAAGTCACGAGTGAAGTAAAGATAGAGTCTTTCAAGTGACGATTGCAGGATTCAGGATGCAAAACAACTGAAAAATCAGATTTCTGCAGTTCCGTAGGATTCTTTTAGAATAATTAGAATAATTTCTATTCCCAAATGTGCATTTAACATCTTTGTCATTAAAGTAACCTCAGGTTTTATGTAAGATTTCCTAAGTCAACAAACCTGTATACAAACTATTTTGACTTAGGTCCCAAGATCAGTATTTTTATTTCTTGTATTTCAGGAAACAAAAGGCAGCACCAAAGAAACTACGTGTTAGAACACTTTTTAATTGGAGAAGAATGAGTTTGCTAATTGTATGTATTAGCATAAATCTCATTAAGTAGGTACAAACCACAATGCCACAGTTAAGGCTGCATTAAATTCAGCACAGAAAGCACAGATTAAACTGTTTTCTTGTACAACAATAATATGTTTCATGGCCAAATCTGCCATTCAAGGAAGTTTGCTAATTATTTTGTATTCAAAATAAAGATTTCAGATGAGTTTTAAAATTTCAGCATTTGTCATCTTTCTTTTTTGGGATGCAGTGATTTGAATGAAATATGATACAATACAATGCAGTTAAACTGAAAATTCATCTGGAGGCTACCCTGAAATTAGACTGTAATTAATGTAAAATATTAACATAGTTCTATTCAATTGTTAAGATGAAAGACTATTGCCAACACCAGGTTTATAGTCATTTGTAAATAGTGTCACCTCTGCTAATCAACTGCTTTGTATGCAGTAACGAAGTCTAAAAATAACCAATACTAAATTGGCTAAAGTGATGTATTTCCCAAGCAAGGGTTGCTACTTGGAAGCATCATGGATCATTCTATGCAAATCAAAGGTCCATTACTGGCTTTAACTGCTGTTTTCTAGTGTTTTACCTCTCTGACTACTGACATTACTTCCCCTTCATCTCTGCTGCCATATTGCTTTTATACACCGATTTCCCACCTCTTCTGTGGTTCCATGTAGTCCTGTACGATAAGATTACATAGAAATATAACTAGTTTGAAGGAAAACCAGGAAAGTTCAAAGGTTTGCTGGAGAAAGAATGCCAGTGACAGTGAGCTGTAGAAAAAAAAAAAAAGAAAAAAAACAAACAAACAAGACAAAGAAGTAGAAATGAGATACAGCAAGGCCCAGCAGTACCAGACCAACAATTTTATTCTGTTGTAAAGACTTCTCCTACAAATGTTTCTATAGTCTCTAATAGCATACAAGGCAAAGTTAAGAAAAAGCAATAAATACATTTTATAGGGCCAGATAATAAAGCTGCAAAAAGCCCAAACTGAAAACTGACTAGCTCTGGGACACAAAACCTCAGAAGTGTCATGAAGATGTTTACTGAGATCCAGCACTCAGGTCCTCGTTATTCAACACATAAAGCATAAAGCTCTTTCCTCTTCATGCCCCAGCCACACATCTGATCACAAGCCTACATTCAAACTTACGGCACTTTTGTTGTGCCCCATTCCTTCTTAAAAAAAGTGACATGCATTTTACAGAAATCCAGTGCTTATGTAGTCATTATACAGCTCTGCTGCAGCTGCTGGCGCTGCACTGGCTTTGTGGTTAGATGATCCATGTCAGACTGCCATGCACGCCAGGTTCTGCCAGATATTATACAGTGCTCTAAAGAAAGAGACACGAATTATACCCATACAAGTAGCTAAAATTAAAACACAAGATAGTGCCTTGTAATCTACAATACATATTGAAAAACAAACTGTGCTTCAAGACAAGAAAAGACCAGACTGCAACTATTACAAGGCAATTGTGCATCTTCAGTATGGGCAGCGGAGCTTGCTAAGAGGGTAGATTTAGTCTAGATATTTTATGATAAGAGCGGTGAAACACTGGAAGAGGTTGCCCAGAGAGGCGGTAGATACCCCATCCCTGGAAAAATTCAAGGTCAGGTTGGACAGGGCTCTGAGCACCCTGATTTAGTTGAAGATGTCCCCGCTCATTGCAGAGGGAGTTGGGATAGATGACATTTAGAAGTCCCTTGCAACCAAAACAATTTTATGATTCTACAAAAGTATCTACTGTTTTGATATTGCAAACTATATATTCCCAGATTCAGGTGAAAGGAAAGATGACAAGAAATGCCTCTTCTCATGCCCTGTATCTCTTCATTGCAATTTACCACAGAACGCCCATAACTGCCAATACCTGACAAGAGTAGAAATTATCAGCTGCAGGACTTTGCAGCATTCCCAGACCTATTTAAAATTCAAGATAAATTACAGTAAGCTGGTAAAGTGTATGTACCTTTTCATAGTCACTAGAAAGTACTTGTTATTTCTTTCACTTAGATCTTCCAATAAAATGTGAAGTTGACCTTTCTTCCACAAGAGCATCTCACAGCCAGCTTTCTATCACACATCTTTAACTCTTTCTAATTAATTTTACCAACATTAGGTCCTCTACTGCAGCATCTAAATCAATTCACAAAAAAAGCCTAATAGAAAGGTTAGTGGTTTTTGAGACTGCTTCAATTAACTTCTGAGTTCATCAGAATACCATCTACCACAGCTACTTATATACATATCTTAAAGATAATCTCAGTAGCATGCAATTCATTTATCAAGAAAGCTTTACTGTGTTGCAAAATTGGGGCATGTTTTGATATTTAGATTGAGGATGTGCCTCTACTCTTTACTTGCACTTTCATTACACATCAGACGCACCCAAAATCATCCACAATATTTAGATCTGCCTTTTAAAGAAACAAAAAGGCAATGTAAATTAGGATTTAATCCATAGCCTGCAGTTGGCAATTCTATAGGTAACCCTTTGAAAGACAGGCTTTGTGACCGTGGGTGAACCACTTAAACTTTCTGTTTTCTTTTTAATGCATGAAGCAAGAATTACGATCACTGTGCTGTCTCCTTTTGTTCCTCAGAGAAAATCTATTGGGATTAATTAGTTAATATTTGCAAAATACTTTAAAATAAACATGCTAGATGGTTTATATTGTAATGAATATAAGCAATCTTTATTTTAAAAGTTTATCATGTTTTTCCCTAATTCTATGAGCTAAGTGGGGGAGTAAGAGAAAAGACAGGGAAAACTATGGAGCTGTTATTAGCCTTCCCCCAGCTTTTTATTCACAATTCCAACAAACAATTTCAGCCTGGTTTTTAACTTTGTTAAAACATCAAGGCAGGGAGAGGGGATTAATTCAACTTTCTATTTATAGATATTCATAAAATTCAAGCTTTGGTGACCTGAAAAGTATTTCTGTACACAAAAAAACAAAGTTAAAGTTCCACAAATCCTGCAGACTTTACCCTGCATAATGTTTTGGCTTGTACACCTAATCAACGTGATTCAGTGACAGATGGCCACCACGGATGATCTGAATGATCCAGGCGACTGATCAAAACGACAAAGACTTTTGTCTTGTTCATTGGTAGGAAACAAGAACAGAAACTTCCAGTACAAAAATTGTTAGCTGGTTTGAAACTACAAGCTACGCAAGCTACTAATATGCACATATAAGATACTAAGTAGATTATTAAAGTACTATTTGCATTTTTACTCACAAAGACTTATATAATGCTTCATAAACAAGCTCAACTTGTGCCGAACTTGGACGTCTTTAAAGCATTCACCTCTATTATGTTCTCTGCAGAATTAAGCAACTGGTTCCCTAGCTGCTTTCATTCACGCAGAAATTAGATGAAGTAGATTTATAGCTGAAAAATCGTACTATCTAATATGTCTGAACATCAAGTAAACTAATGAAGACATTTAGGATTTGCAGTACTTTCCTCATACACTTGAGGAAAATGCTGGGCAAAAAGCCAATTTTAAGGCAATGCTTTGTAGAAAAAGATTGACAAATGGGAGAAGAAAGAACGCTCTAAACAGACAGCAGCATGTTAAACTCAGGCTTTTTAAAAGAGGTCAAAATCTGTATCTCATTGTCTGTTACAAAAGTATCACCCTCAGCACAGATGTAGCACTTTGTTCATATTGCAGTGTTAGGTATTACAAACAAATTGAGTCTGCACCCCACACAAAGAGAAATGTTGTTATCCTCTCTAGAAAAAAAAAAAAACAAACAAAAAAACCAAAAACAAGCAGGTTTTTGACGTTTTGACTTATACAAGTACTTAATACAATGGTGTTTGTTGTTCCAAATACCTATTACCTTTGCATGATCAATGCGAACAGAAAGCTCTTTAGACGCAAATCCACCAAAAATCAGGCTGTGGATGGCTCCTATTCTTGCACAAGCCAGCATACAGTACACTGTCTGTGGAATCATGGGCATGTAGATGACCACACGATCTCCTTTCTTCACACCATGTCTGACCATGACATCAGCTAACTTGGAGACCTGTACTGACAAAACATTAACAACATATTTAAAGTTTCTCCAGATCTGCTGTTGCCCCATAAGAACAACTTGCACACAATCAACAGACACAGAACATTAAGGAGACAAGACAGTACGATAAGAAAATCTGATGGACGCAATCCAGCTTCAATAAATTTAGGGCAATTTTGTTTTCACGAAAAACATTGTAATACATTATGCATTCTTCTTTTGGAAAATGAGAATAGACTGAAGCTAATTATTTTGCATATTAGAGAAAAAAAAACCAATAGCAATGTTTTGAAAAATTTTAAATGACACTCTAACTACTCATTCTTTCCTCCAGATAACTGCTTATATTTGTCAATTTTAGCTTTTAAGCTAAAATTGGATGTAAATAGGCATTTCATAACTCAAATTCTGCCCCAACTAGCTAAGCTTTAAACACAAATTAATATGTAGCAATATTTTCTCTACTACAGTGTTGTAAACTTCTCAGAATCTGAGACAAGAAATTTTATACCCTGAACCAAATGTAAACTCAAATTCAGAGAAACATGATTTAGATTTAAGAAGTCATTTTTCCTCTCATTTTCAGATTTTCATTTCTGGTGTGCAGAAGCCTGAAGACAGGCCGTATGACAGCAAAGGACTGGAACTCAGGAAAAGTGACAGATCAGCAGCAATGTCAACCATCTGTATCACCATAGATTTCATAGATTTCATAGATTTC